AGAGAATAGCCAGGACAGGAATTTCCTGCCAACAAATGTCCACAGGACAGCATACTAATGAATTGTAACAGCTGCTACTTGAAAATGAAGTGGTTGCATTATATCAAAAACAATGAGGGAATACAAAATCCTTTACAAAGACCGCAAGAAATGTATAGCATCCAAAAGTTGCCATCCAGAAGCATGCATTATGATGATAAGAAGCCAGCTCTCTGTACACATTATGGTTTCATTAAAATCCATAACCTAGTAAATATTCACTAGAGCAAGTGCTACTGATAAATGACAGATATACACAATGATAAAGCTGAAATCACTCTAAAAACTAAAATAATAAACCAATGGTTTTGCTATTGGTATCAATTGATGCAATCACCTGATGAATGCGACAGCTCATCAGAATGGATTCTACCAATAGCACTAACAGAAATAGGTTTTTTTTTTTATTCTATTTGAGTAATTCACCTTCTGATGAGTCCAAAGTCCCAAATGATGTTCTAACCAAGACAGCTGGCTGACCTTCCCGGTGGATTAGATCAGTATCTGCCAAATGTAGCCTCCACCTTTTCCAGGGGAAACCATCCAGCGCAAAAGGCCAAATTCTTTGGTTCAGTGTAAAAAAACCCAGGGCTTCACGCATGCCCTGCTAAAATCTTACGTTTTGTTCATTTCATAGTGGTTTTGTTTATCCTCTACCCATCACTTGCTATAGCTTGTTATTCACTTTTAGAAATTCAGTAAAGGTTCTTTTTACAGCTTTCATGTTCTGCACACACAGCACATGGATGTGTTGGTGTATATACATACACGAAGAAAAATAAAAAATGAAAGGTCTTGGTTAAAAGCCAGGTTTCTAATTTAGAGTGAGAGCAGAACTTTCTAAACAGATGTGTATTTCTCCAGTCCAAAACAATCACTTGGATACTACTTTACTAAAAAGATTGAGAAAAGAAATAAATATTTTGCTTCTGATTCCCCATACCCTTCAGCATTTAGATATTTTGCAGTGAAATACAGATAAAAAGACAATTTTTTATGCCCTAGTTTTCTAAACAAATCTATTCAGAAACACGACCAGTGGGAAAGGTCATCCTTGTTGCTCCTACTGCATATAAACCTAAGTCTCCGGCATGAAAAGCTATATTTATAATCCAAAGAAACAAACAGGGATTATCTGATGTTCTATAGAAAGTCAAGAAGTCTCAAGATTAGATTGCGGATAATGTCTTTGATAAACAAGATTATTTGATAATAATCTTTGATAAACAATATTGTTTCTTCCAATCCAGCTGTCTTTGGCAAATCAAATCTGTCAGAGGTGCCTACAGCAATATATAGGTTATTAAAACATACAACATACAGAGACATGTCAAAATACATGCTGTTTATAATTTTCATATTTGATGATGAATTTAGATTATTAAGTATCATATTTTGTTTTTGAGATTTTTTTTTTTAATTTCCAGGAGTGATTTAAGGGTAAGATTCAAAAAATGATGTAACTTAACAGTTTCATCTTTAGCTAAGTGCAAACTAAAAGATCTAAGAAATCCCATGTTTTTTAACTAAAAATAGGAATTGAGAAGTCAAGAAAAGATTTATAATCAATATTTTCAAGTATGGAAGCTTACAGTTAGATTCTTAATTCATATTAAACCATGTGAAAAAAAAAAAGTTTGATTTTTAAAAATTCCTTGCCCTGAGTACTTTTAGATTTCGGTGCATTACTCAGCAAACTTGAAAATCAATCAGAATCTCCTTAGATATCCCCCTAAAAACAGAGTCTTAATTTTGAGTACCTAGATATGAAAGAGCTGTCATATCTCATGAAATTAGAAAAATATTTCTTTTGCATTCACATAACACATTTCCTTACATATGCAGAAATTAATAAATAGCAGAATTTGTCAGTCCCACAAAACATATCCATGAGCTTGCTTTTAATACGCACACTTAAGTTCAAAATTCCTAGTCTTTGAGTAGTGTATAAAGGATGCTTATCATCCAGAAAAAAAGGCTATTGCAGAATTGTGGGAAAACAGACTAGGCTGACGTTATTCCTATGGAGCTCAACATTAAAGTAGAAATGTCCTTCCTCAGCACATTAATTCTAGCTGCTCAGGACTGTAAATGATAATAGAAAGCCTATCTTTAACAAAGTTTTTCTACAGAGAAAAGGTTTAACTACTGAAAGGAGATTGGGGCTAACAAAATGCATAAAGAAGGAAGTAAGCTGGTAGTAGTTTATCATATATGAAAAGTATAAGACGACAGTTTTCAAGCAGGCACGGGCTAAACTTAGACAGATTTAATGTGATACATTCTCAGTGTGGACAGTTTAAAAGACAATGCACAAATAATGAAAAGTAGGAGAAATACACTAGGTGGACTAGAGTGAGACAGAGGGAGGGAAAAAAGGGAGAATGCAAAAATCCAGCCAGTCAGGAAACAAAACAAAATGCCAAAAAAAAACCCCTAAACCTGAGTACATAAGTATCTGCTAAGCCTAGCAAGGAAACCAATAAAAAAGAAATAAATGGAAAACAAAAAAAAACTTTTCCCTAATTGTGTTTCTTCCTGCATTCCTTTTTTTTTGAAATAGGAATCGAGACTGAGGTTGAAATTGTAACCTCTTCAGGATAAGAAACCTTTTTAATCCCAGTTTTGCTAAGTATCTTATTTGTAAATTCTTTGTTGGTGCTGACTATTAATCAGAACTGGGTGATCTCCGAGCAAGATGAATATCTTTGGCATTACTTTAAAGTACTTCTCAGGGAACAGTTTTGCAATTAACTACTAAGTCAACAGAAAAGAAAACCCATAGACATTTTGTTTCCATCAGTCCGCAGGACTTCCTGAACGTGAGCTATGTCTGAAGTAGCAGTTACCTCTTAAGTCTCTCTCCAGTTAAGTTGACTCTATTAAAGTCATTTTCCCAGTGACTTGAAATGTGTAGAATCCACGTGAACTGTTTTGATGGCTTTCATTCAGTTTTAGGCTTCTCTCTCTTGATTTTGCTTTATGTTTCTTACATATTTCTGAGACAAATACAACTCCTGTCTTCTTCATTCTCCATTTCCATTGTTAACACTTTAATTTTACAATAATAATGTCTAGGTCTGGAATCTGTCTTTAACTGGCAGTCCCCAGACAGCCAGGATCATCACTGAGCTATGGGGTACATCAGAACTTATCTGCTAGGTAAACTTCTCAGAGGACCTGAATCTTTGGATCAGTCATTCATAAAATCCAGCCAGCATGATGACATTGCGCACAAGTCAGAGCACATTTATTTTCCATTAGGTTAAAATGTAAAAACGAGAGTTCCATTTGGTGATGACATCTTATAAATCAGAGAAGTAACAGCTTATCCTAATTTATATGCCTTTCATGCACTGATAGTGGCAGAAAATTGATTGATGATCTCAAATAATTTGCCATAGAGGATTTCAGAGAAAGTTTATGAACACATCTGTGAAAAATCACATATATAAATATTGCTAATGTTGCTTTAGAGTATTAGTGCTATCTTTCATTTCATTGGATAAAAGCTGTCTTTATTGACCGTGCTAATTTTTTTTATTGTACAAGCTTAAGCACAACCTGGGGGACAGCTGGACTTTGGCACTTAAAACTCTTAACAGTGTAGTTTGTCTCTTCTGTTAGCGAACAACGCTTTGACCCAGTATGCTGCTGCCAGAAAAAATTATCTAATGCAGTTCTGGGCACCCAGCTCATAGTAAGGATTAAATCCAAATTCTACGAAGTGAGAATGCACTTTTCTAAGCAATTCTTTAGTAATAATCTTTATTTCTTCAGAATTATCACTTGCAGTCCATATTTTTCAAGTGGACATGAAAAAAAATTACTTACAGGGATTGCGAAGAAGTCTCCAGTCAAACAGCCTCACTTAACCATAATTCAGCAACTGAAGAACCATCGTTTTACTCATCAAATTTTTTAATTCTCTGTAGTACAGTTACTATGATTAAGACATGTGGCTCCTTGATACCTCTGGGTTTCTTTGAATAACATTAACAGTACCTGGTGTCGGCATGGCGAGCACTTATTCACTTTAAGTGGAGAAGACCTGGTGTTTCAGGAGATGCTGATTTGCCACAACTAACAAGTGACTGTTGGACGGGTTCCAAGCTCTATTTTTTCTTCTCCTTTAAGGCCTTCCTTGCTTGTGAGCGTCTCACTACGAGATTCCCCAAAACATAGGTACTACCCCCCTGAAGGGTGACTCCACCAACGTTATCTGAAACGAGTGCATGCAACAGTTGCTCTAGCGCTGATCCTGACCCGGGGTGGGCGGCCGCATCGCCCTCCCAAAAGCCAGAGCACCCCCCCCCCAACGCACCTCAGCAGCCCCAAAGCCTGTATTTTCTCCTTCCCCTCCCTCTAGACGGCTCTCAAGCCCCGCCCGCCCTGCCGCGGCCGGGGGCGGGGCCTTATGTTTCCGTGCGCCAATCAAACACCGCTACAGGTGCCTGTAAACGCCCAGTCCGCCGGAGGGCGGTGGGCTGTCAGCCACGTGACGTCAGGTTGACTGGCGGCGGCATGGACCAATCAAACGGCTCCTTCGCCTGCGCATGCTCCACAGGTTTCTTGCCCTTCCTCTAACTGCTG